TTTTGGATTGAATATGGAGGGAGTCTCAGGCGAGGGCTTCGTCTGCGAGTGGATCCTGAAGAATTGTCATGCAGGAGCCCCCTCCCTATGGGGCCCGCACTTCATGTTGTTAATCGGAGTGGGTCATCGGCAAACTCCACCAGGCATAGCATTTGAGCACCCCAAATGGGTACATCTCGAGGCGTTCCTCACGCGTCTGTGAGTGAGTTGCAAGGACGTCTCAGGCGGGAGACCCCTCCCTACGGGGCCCCCATTTCAATACACCGCAAAATGTATCATAGACCATCCGCAGATAGCGTCAGAGAGCAGAAGAAAGCATCGGAGACCAGCAGAGACCAGAAGAGACCCGCAGAGAGCAGCAGAGACCAAGGCCGTGCATGAGGAGAACTGGCGGGATGGAGACGAGGGGGGCGAGAAGAAGGAGGAGGTGGAGGAGGAGGAGGAAAGGAGGAAAAAAACGAAGAGGGAGAGGAGAAAATGGAGCACAAGGAGGGCGAGCAGGAGGAGGAGACGGATGACGAGGGAGACAAGGAGGATTAGGAGGAGGCGCAACAGAGGGCGAGACGAGGGGCTTCGGCCAGGGCGAAGGTGACAGAGCGAAGGGCAATCAACATCAATTCTCATGCGGGGTCCTGCCGCCGGAGTGATGACGAGACAACGCCCCGCGTCTCCACTCCTCTCTTTCCTCCTCCCCTTCCTCCCTCCTCCCCCTCCTTGCCTCTGTCCTCCGCATTCCATGCCAGCACACGCCTTACACATTCCGTGGCCTCACAGGCAGCTCCACCGAAGGCAGGCCTCAGTGGCGATGTTCGCATGCGTTTCCCCTACCTGGTACAGCGCTTCGTGGCCCCACAAGCCAATGGCGGTGGTCGCATGCATGTCCCCATCCCAGTATACCGCTTCGTGGCCCATAGAAAGCTCAACCGAAGGCCCCAATCGCGAGTGCAGCGCTTCATGGCCACATAGGGAGCTCCACCGAAGGCCCCAGTGGCGGTACTCGCATGCGTTTCCCCCACCCTGTACACCTTTTCCTGGCCCCATAGGGAGCTCCACAGAAGGCCCCAGTGGCGGTGCTCGCATGCGTTTCCCCCGCCCTGTACACTTTTTCGTGGCCCTAATGGGAGCTCCACCGAAGGCCCCAGTGGCGGTGTTCGCATGCGTTTCCCGCACCCAGTACAGCGCTTCGTGGCCCCATACGGAGCTCCACCGAAGGCCCTAGTGGCAGTGCTCGCATGCGTTTCCCGCACCCAGTACAGCGCTTCGTGGCCCCATAGGGGATTCCACCGAAGGCCCCAGCGGCGGTGTTCGCATGCGTTTCCCTCGCCATGCACAGCCCTTCGTGGCCTCATAGGGGGCTCCACCGAAGGCCCCAGTGGAGGTGTCCGCATGCGTTTCCCCGACCTATTACAGCGCTTCGTGGCCCCATAGGGAGCTCCTCCTCCTTCTTCGCCCTCTCCTCCTCCTCCTCCTCCTCCTCTTCCTCCTCCTCCTCATCTTCCTCCTGCTCCTCCTCCTGATCCTCCTACTCCTACTCCTCCTCGTCCTCGTCCTCATCCTGCTCCCTCTCCTCCTCCCTCTCCTGATCCTCCTTCTGATCCTCCTCCTCCTCCTCCTCCTCGTCCTCCTCCTTCTCCTCCTCCTCCTCCCTCTTCGCCTCCCCCTCCTGATCCTCCTCCTGATTCTTCTCCTGATCCTCCTCCTCCTCCTCGTCCTCCTCCTCCTTCTCCTTCTCATCGTCCTCATCATCCCTCTCCTGGGGGGTTGCGGATACCAAGGTTGGTTATATCGGGCTCAGCCTGGCCTTTGAGTGGGTTTTAAATTCCTCGGCTTCGCGAGGGGTTCGTAGCTCCGCTAACCCAGATAGTTGCACCCCCCCGTCGCCACTCAGAGCACTTGTAGCCCACGTGTAAGCCAGGTTGGGCCAGCTATGACCCACCATGGCGTCCGCTTATACCCCCCGAGACACTCAGCAACCCCCGCGGCGATCCCAGCTGCGACCACCTGCGGACCTTACCTCTGCCCTCGGTGGCGGGCCCTCCAGCGGGATTGATTTCGGGCGGCAACTCGGGGCCGCAAGCGGCCGTGTGGGGCGAGTTCGGCAATGCGCCCAAGCGCTCTCGACGAGGCGCAGCTGCTGGGAACCACCCCGGTCCCCGAAAGCACGAGCCGCAGGGAATCTCCGCACAGTGTCGTGGCTCCTTCTCCTTCTCTTTTTGTTCGCACTCCCGCCTCATGTGATGCTGGATTTAAGTACTGGCCGCTTGGGGCCGCCAGGGGGTGAAACGCAACAACGCTTGCCGCCTCCATTTTGCAGGGCACATTTTAGTGGAAATGAATCCATGGAAGGGGCCTATGAAGTGGGTGCATGAGGCAGGCTATATTGCAACATCGTGAATGAGTCTTGGGTTTGCACTGGTCCTCCTCCTCCTCCTCCTCGTCCTCACTCCTCCTCAAATTCCTCCTCCTCCTCTTCCTCCTCCTCCTCCTCTCCGCTTCCCGTGCGTCCAGTTCGATACTGACGAAGCGAGCGAACCTTCAGGCAATTTCGTTGCAAGTGAAAACGTCGCGTGTCCCGAAATCACGAGCTCACCTCGGCGAAGCGGCAGGTGACATGGCAGGTTCCCATATCTCCGACGTTGTTTGATTTCCTCCCTCCGGACGTTTTTCCCTGATCAGTGCTTGCACTGCAGGGGTCCTAGCGGAGATTGAAAGATTTGGCGAAAGTATCGGGCCGATTTCGGTGGGCGGCAGGGTTCCCAGGTTCCTGGTTCCCGGGTTCCAGTTGCTGGTTCCGGATCGATTTCAGTGGGTGGCGGGGTTCCCGGGTTTCCGGGTTCACGTGCTCTTGGTCGATCTCTTTACCGACCGGTCTCACCAGCGATCTCACTACCCACCTTCCTACCGATCTCACAATCGATCCCATGATAGATCGCACGAGCGATCTCACGATCGATCTCACTATCGATCTCACTGAATCGACTTCACGGTCTGTCTCACTATCAGCCGTACCATCGTCCTGACTATCGATCCCACGATCGGTCTCACTATCGATATCACAATCGATCCCAATATCCATATCATTGTGGAGGACGATCAATCATTCTAGATGTTTAAAACATGTTAAACACATGTTTTAAACATTAGAAAGCATGTTCAAAACATGTTTAGAACATTTTTCCGGCATTTTAAACATTTTAAACTCAATGATCGGACTGTTAGGGTGTCCATTGTCGTGGCAGCCACAACCCCAGAGGGCCGTCAAAACCGTAGTTGTGGCGAGGAACGGGCCCCGGGGAACGGGTCCGGACCTCATGTCGGGAGCCTCGAGACGGGGGTCGATGCAAACGGGGGTCATCATCATCATGATCATCATCATCATCATCATCATCATCATCATCATCATCATCATCATCATAATTGTCATCATCATCATCATCATCATCATCATCATCATCATCATCATCATCATCATTGTCATCATCATCATCATCATCATCATCATCATCATCATCATCATCATCATAATTGTCATCATCATCATCATCATCAGCATCATCATTGTCATCATCCTCAGCATCGTCATCATCATCATCTTCATCATCGTCATCATCAGCAGCAGCATTACCAAGGTAAAACAGGACACAGGAAGACAAGCAAGACACACTAATACACATAAGACAAGAGAAGACGTGACACAAACATCAACACCTTCCACGCGGAAGATGTGGAAGGTGGAGAGTCAGGGCAGAGCGCCCGATCTTGCAGGATCCTGCAGGGACAGGGTCGCATTGACCCGGGCGTGGGCGCAGGATCCTGCAGGATCTTGCAGGATCTTTCGCATTGCTTTGGATTTGGGCGCAAGATCTTGCATGATTTTTGCAGGATTCTGTAATGCCTGACTGACCCCGGTCTGGGTTGACCCGGGGCAGAAGATCCCCGAGGGGACGCGCACTGAACGAACCTCATCGCCGGGTGCCTGGTTGCCCAGACAGACCCCCTCGCGCTTGTCTCACGACGGACGTCTGTTCTGTATTTTCGGGCTCTGGGGGCCCTCGCCGGGATCCGTGACCAGTAAAGAGGAGCTCAGGACGAAACGCTGGCCCTAGAAAGGGTCGACCTTAGAGGACCGCGTGCTGAACACATCCGGACCTTGCATGTCTGGGCCCCTCCTGGCTGTAGCGACGTTCTTCACATCCCGAGCCCCAGCCGGTTTCCCTGGAGGCTCTCCTCCTCCTCCTCCTCCCCCTATCCTCCTCCTCCTCCTCCTCCTCCTCCTCCTCCTCCTCCTCCTCCTCCTCCTCCTCCTCCTCCTCCTCCTCCTCCCCCCCTGGCTGCAGCGACGCCCTTCACATCCCGAGCCCCAGCCGTTTTCCCTGGAGGCTCCTAGCATGCAGGGGCGGGGCTCACGTGCGGCCGCCTGCCCAAGAGCGCTCGGCAGCAGTCCGTGGGGGCCTCGTCCGTCCTCGTCGCCTCGCATGTCGAGGGCCCTCGCGTGCACTCGATTGGCATCGCTCGGACGTGTGCATTTTTTCTTCGGCGAGGACCATCGAGGAGCATCCTTGATAACTTCGCGAAAAAACACGCACGAAACCGAAAAAGACACAGGGAACGGACGTCCGAGCGATGGCCAGCTCGAGCTCGGTAGTCGAGGAGCCGAGCGCAGCCTTTGGCCTCGATGAGGGTCGATGCAGCGTCGACCTGCGTAGGGCAGCGTCGGTGAGCGTCGTTTCGCAAGAGCCAGCAAGATGACATGGAAAGTAACGTATAGGGAAAGTGTAGGGAATTATAGTGAAATTAATGGGAAATTATTGGAATCAGGGGACTCTAAGGAAATTATCGGGAGATGACAGGGAAGCTCAAACAGGGAATTACTGGTAACTCAAAACCCGATCCCCCTTCTTGTAACACAACGGGCGCGCGCAAGTCGTCTCGCAAGAGCCAGCAAGATGACAGGGGGGAGGCTCCCGTGCGCTGCCGTGCAAGAGGACGCGGACGACTTCATGGCCCCGGGCAGGGTGGCGGCCCAGCCTCGCAGAGGGAACCACGGCGCACACAGCATTTTTCGGATGTTCGTGTGGACTTCTCGGATCGGCGCTGGCCCCCCCCTTCTCCTCCCACCTCCTCCTCGTCCTCCTCCTCCTGTTCCTCCTCCTCCTCCTCTTCTCTCCTCCTCCTCCTCCTCTCTCCTCCTCCTCCTCCTCCTCCTTCTCTCTCCTCCTCCTCCTCCTCCTCCTCCTCCTCCTCCTCCTCCTCCTCCTCCTCCTCCTCCTTCCTCTTCTCCTCGTCCTCCTCATTCTCCACCTCCTCCTCCTCTTCCTCATCCTCCTCCTCCTCCTCCTCCTCCTCCTCCTCGTCCTCCTCCTCCTCCTCCTCCTCCTCCTCCCCTGGCGGCGCCTGGGGCGCCGCCCCTGGCGCGGAGGGGGGCCCAGCGCAGATCCGAGAACGCCGCGCGGACCTCCCAGAGTTTGCGTGTGTGCCATTTTCGCTTCTTCGGTGCAGCTGCGGCTGGCGGCGGCGAGTGGCGACGGCTGCCTCGTCGGCTGCGGCGTGGCGCGCGAGCCCCCGAACGCCCAGCCCAGGTACACCGCCTGGCTCAGCTCGAGGAACAAGCAGCGGCACAGACAGGAACGCTCCGAGCTCCGTGCGGAGCTCTTGGGGCCCAGCGCCGATGCAAGGATTCCGCGGTGGAGCTCCGAGTGTGTCTGTTTGTATGCCGCTTCTTGCTCCTCGATCAACGGCCTCAGCGAGCCGCAGCTGCTCCGGCAGCGCTTCCGCGAGTGCACGCTGGCGATGCCGACCTGGTTCTGTTCCCGCGCCGTGTTCGACCGCGTCGGCGGCTTCGTCGAGACCGGCCCTGGCGCGCCGGAGGACATGGACTTCTTCTACAGGCACCTGCGGGCCGGAGGCACGCTGGCGAGGGTGCCGGAGCCGCTCGTCACCTACAGGAGCCACGAGGACCAGCATGGTAAGGCGTCGGGTTGCGCGCAGAGCCCCCCGGGTAGCCCTGGCTCGACTCAGCAGGCCCCCCGAATAGACTGGGGCGATCTCAACACTCTGGCGCCGCCTCCGGCGGCGCCATTGGGGCGTCCGCTCCCAAGGGCTGAGGTGTTGAGACCGCCCAGGACTACTCGGGGAGCCTGTTGAGGTTTGTTGCAGTGTACGTGCGTCCTTGTTTGTGACCCTCTGTTTCATTATGTTCTAACTGCCCGCATGTCCGCCCCCCCGCGTGTTTCACACATCCCGCCGGTCTCACGCATCGCTTTTTTGGCAGCCTTCGTGCGGACGTCCGCTCTCCTCTCCCCCTTCCACAGCACGGAGAACACCTGATGGATTACCATCTCATGCCCTTAACATGACCGGCGAAATCCCATACTTGGACGTGATGTTTTGGTTGATGGGTTGGTAAATGTCAAAAACTCGTATGTCGGCCCTATAAATTGGAGCTTCTGAGTGTTAAACTAATGCATGACCGTCTGATATAATTGAAAGAATGTGTTCTACGGTTTCGGCCATATCATTAACCAATCAGACTTGCCGAGTGCTGGGGGCTGCCTGTGCAGAGCCCGAAGCCTTGCCAGACCAGCAGAGCCGCGGAGTGAGCGCGGAGGCCATCTGGTCACTGCGCGTCGCGGAGCTGCAGGGCAGCCTGCTGGACGGGCTGCCCAGCTTCTCCATCTGGAGCGCCGGCCGAGACGGCAAGCGCCTCTACCGCAGCCTCTCGACGGCCAACCAGGACTCGACACAGTCCAGGGCCAACTCCGATACACATTGTTCATTTGTATTTATTCGAAGGTTCTTTGATTTTCCCGGGGACCAAGATGCTTCGATTTCTAGTTCTTCCATCCTGGGCCTCTTCTTGGCCACTAGATGGCCAGGAACCATAAGAAACGAGCACAACTAGAAATGAGCACGATCAGAAATGAACGACGTGTACTCCTGCGGGTCCCATCGACGCTGGGGCATAGGACACACCCGTCGGGCAGCACTCGTTTGCAGACATCCTTCAGATTCTGAGCCCGAGGCGGCTTTTCAGAACTGTGACCTGGCAGGGGTAGGGTTCACACATGTGGTCGCTTGAGAATTAAGTCGGCATAAACAACATTTCGGCGGTCCCCGCGAATTTCTTGGATCGGCGCCTTGGCACCCCTGTCAAGGCCTCCAGTGCTGTCCCGGACGCACTCTGCGCGTCCGTGACGGAGGTCCAGCGTCGATCTAAGAAATTCGCGTAGTTCTCCTTTGTCTTCTTCTAAGGACAAGGTTGTTGCTTTTCTGGACGTGGACGCGGGCAAGCTCGCCGCAGGGCTCTATTACAACCGCGAGCGGAAGCTGCACGTCCCCATCGTGGAGTGGAGGTTTGCCTCCGACGCCCGGTACCAGCCTGCAGTCATATGCGTGAAGCTGGGATTGCACGACGGCTTCGAGGAGAACTTGGCGTCACTGCAGTTGCGCGAGGGCGAGCAGTACTGGCACTTCTGCTGAGCCGTGGAGGCGCGGGTGTCGGTGAAGCGTTCCTTCCTCTTGCTCCTGTCGAGATTTTCTTTTACCATCTGCCCAGGCCAACCCTTCTCCTCGGGTGACAGTAGCGGCCATACATGGGGGGTTGCCTGGACCCTCCCCATGCTGGTGCTCGTGTGCTTACTGTGGCGATCGCAGTGCACCCCCGCCCCAGCGTGCCCTCCCCCACACCGCCCAAGCGATCCTTTCAGCCCGGGGGGGGGTGGGCCCTCTCCGCTTCTTTGTCATCATCCCCTCCTCTTCCCCCCCCCCCCCCTCTGGGCCTCCCCTTCCCTCTGCTGCCGTTCCTCCTCCTCCTATCCTTATTCCTTATTGGAATATACTCCTACTCCCCCCTCAGGCCGGCAGATAGGGGCCGCATCCGGGTGGTCCCATCCGAACCTGTAAAAAACAATACAAAATCAACATTTTTCTTATTTTTTCCTCTCGACATGGACGTCCTGTCGTCCACGGCGATAATCCATTGCAAAAAATACCACAAAGAGCACACGCGCGCGTTCATGTCAGAATCCTACCGAACACCGTGTGTTTGCAAGCATTTCAACATAAAAACATCAAAAACCCAATGCTTTTTCACAAAAATGTACAAATTTCCCGCCCGGGCTCTCTTGCTGAAATCATAGGAAAACCATAGGAATCTTAAGAATTCGGTCAAATCCAGCGATTTCACGTCATCGCGCGGTGCACTCGCGATGCTCTGTCATGCACCCAGGCCGCGAATCCTGTGCAAAAAATACCACAAAGAGCACACTCGCGCGTTCATGTCAGAATCCTACCGAACACCGTGTGTTTGCAAGCATTTCAACATAAAAACATCAAAAACCCAATGCTTTTTCACAAAAATGCTTTGGGGTGTCCTGTCAGACCGTCGGGCTTCCTCCGGCCACCTCTGGCTTCCTGCGGTGTACCGGGCCATTCTCGACTCGTCTGGCAATGCGTGCGCGGCATTCAACACGCGCTCGCCAGTTCCCGTCGGCAACCGCCATCGCGGCCGCATCAGCTGTACCAAACCGGCTGGCCGGTGTGACTTCGGCCCCCAGTTGTGCCAGCTTTGCTTCTTATGTTGTGGGAGGGCGGGTGGGACTGGGCATGCCATGCTTGACTCGCTCGAGCTGGCTAGCTTGACTCCTCCTCCTACTCCTCCTCCTGGTGTTCCTCCTCCCCGTCCTCCTGCCTCATCCACCTCCTCCTCCTCCTCCTCCTACTCCTCCTCCTGCCGTTCCTCCTCCTCCTCCTCCTCCTCCTCCTCCTTCTCCTCCTCCTCTTCCTCCTCCTCCTCCTCCTCCTCCGCCTCCTCCCCCGCATATGGGCGCGGATTTCGCGGGTCGGCGCTGCCCCTAGCGGTGCCTCCGGCGCCGATCCGCCGCGTGCCAGGACGGGGGGGGAGGGCTCAGCGCCCGCTGCAGGAAGTCCACGCGAACCCTCGGAAGTTTGAGCTCATGCCGTTTCTTCTTCTTCTTATTATTCTTTTTCTTCTTCTTCTACTTCTTATGATTATTAGTATTACTCTTCTACTTCTCTCTACTTCCTCTTCTTTCCTCCTCACCCCAAGTCTGGGGCACCTCACGAAGCTGAGTATCGACAGACGCGCCCCTGGGCCTAGACTTAGACCTTGTGCCGCTTGTAGCAAGACCTCTTACCATATGCATGTGCTGCGCGTTGGGGTATCACCAGGATCTGCATGTGTGATTGTGTGTGTGCCACTTGCGGTATATATTGCAGCCAGAGGCAATTCGGGTTGGAGGGGATGTGCAGTGGGCGACGCCACCGAGACCCGCTAGGAGTATTTAAGGCGTTGGCCCCTGGGTCTCTAGCCGAAGGCTTACTGCAATAATGACTTGGCCCGTGAAGCCCAGAAGCGGTCTTTGTAAGCATTGGTAAGATCTCTCTCTGGGACTCCAGCTTTCATTCTAAGATCGAGCAGGATATCGACTACATAATCATAGTCTATGTACCCCAGAATTCGCTTGCGCGTCGAATCTGCAAAATGATTAGGTCAACCGTGTGTAGATCTACGAACATACTCTGCGCACGCCATGTAGGTTCAACGATGGTTTCATCTTGGGGGTAAGTCAATTATACCGTCGATCCTGACTGCGCTTGTTCGTCGAATTCCCGACCAAGTATATGTAGGCGAATGTGTGTGTTCCATCGAACTGCAACACACGTACGCAGAAGGTTGTTAGATCTACGAACTTACCTTACGTACCCCTTGTAGATTCAACCATGATCTTTCTTTCTTTGGGGCAAGTCAATTCTTCAGAAAGACAGTTCTCTGGTTGGGGAGATGCGGGGTGGGAGCGATGACCAGATCATCCGTATCGCCGCGTAGTGTCGAGCGTGCTTATCGCACTGTCGTGCCCCCGTATCTTCCCAGCCCCATCCCCCCAACCCGATAAGAGTCCTCCCTCCTCGTCCTTCTCCCTCCTCCTTCTCCCTCCTCCTTCTCCTCCTCCTCCTTCTCCCCCTCCTCCTCGTCCTCCTCCTCCTCCTCCTCCTCCTCCTCTTCTTTCCTCCCCATCTCATGCGGCTCCTCCTCCGCCCCTCCCGGAGGAAGGGCAGGCGGAGCACCAGGAGGCGCACGCCCCCCCCCCCTCCGAAGGCGGGAGGGGCCAGGCGCCCGCGGCGACGCTGGCGCTGGAGCGCGCGGAGCATCCCGCCCCACGCCGGCGCAGCGAGGGGCGAACTCGCGGCCACGGCCGGAGGCCCCCCGGAAGAAAGAGAGCGCCGCGCGGGGCGCCCCCGCGCACGAGGGGCGGGCCAGCCCTCGCGCCGTGCGCCGCCGCCGTCGGTGGCCCCTGCGGGCCAGCCGGGCATCGCCCGGGCGTGCGCATCTTTGGGGGGGCGGCGAGGGTCAGGAGGAGGGGCAGCAGGAGAAGGAGGGGGAGGAGGATGAGGAGGAGAGGGGGGGGAGGAGGAGGCGGAGGAGGAGGAGGAGGAGGAGGAGGAGGAGGAGGAGGAGGAGGAGGAGCCTTTCGGGGGCCATCTTGCGAGGGCCATCGAGGAGCCTTTTTCGGGTCATCTCGAGGGGGCCCCCTGCATATCAGTCGAGCGCGACACGGCCAGATTTTCTGGTGCGCGCCGTCTCCTTTGCCGAGACGCCGCCGGACTTCCCCCTGCGCGCGTGCTGGTCCCCTCTGGTCGCCGTTCCCACGAAACGCGCCCAGGCCGCGGCAGCAGGGTCGAGCGTCGCTCCTTTGGGTCATCGTGCGAAAAGATGCGCACACGAGGCCGAAAAATGCGACGTCCGAGCGATGGCGAGCCAGGCTCAACCCAGACCCCTGACGTCGGCTGAGATCTGACATTGGTTCTCTTTCCCAACGGACACTTTCGCCCAGGTCTGGGCTCTGAGGCCATCGCAGATCGATCGGGCTCGAGGGTGCAGCAGAGGAGGGCGTCTGGCTCTCGGGTCATAGTTATTTTTGTTGTTTGTTCCCTACCTAGGCTCTGCCTAGAAGGGTCCTTACCCTGTGAGCTTAAAGGGGCCGGGCAGTGGAACACGCCCCGGGCGGTTCCCCCAGGATCCGCCCCGCGGTTCCACCAGTTGCGTCCCCTTAGCTTAGCGTTGCTAATCTCATCTTAGCTTAGCTTATTTTATCTTAGCTTAGCTTAGCTTCATCTTAGCTCAGGTTTATCTTAGCTTAGCTTACCTTCAGCTTAGCTTTGCTGAGCTTTAGCATCGCAGGGCACAGCAGAGCATAGCAGAGCGTAGCATAGCATAGCGCAGCACAGCATATGATTCATATGATCGTTTCAATCCGTGCCCTCCCCCCGAGCCCTCTCAGAGGAGGGCTAGTTGAGACAGCGATCGTTGGACTTCGGGGGCCCCCCTCGTCGCCACGGCTGGACGCAGCTCGGGAAGCTGGTGCGTCTGGACCCAAGGAGGGGTCTGGGGGCCGATTTTCAATGGCCGCTGCCTCCTCTCGCCCTCCTCCGACCCTCGTCCCTCGGGCATGTACTCCTACAGGCGGGACTTGGAAGAGCAAATCAAAATAGTCCACAACTAATGCGTGTCGCTCGTGTTTGAGGGGCCAATACACGTCGTTTGCAGAATACGACCAACAATAAGAGCCTGGTGGTAAATACGAGGAAAGATGACCGAGACCTGAGGGCCCAAGACAGTAACCACCCCACCTTCACGTTGAGAATCCTCGAAACCCGAGAAACCGATGTTGACTCCATGAGAAGCCCCATCCAGCTCCTTGCGGAGCTCTTCAATATCACCAATATGACCGTGAGTTTCCTGACCACAGACGATCTGAAAACGTCGAGAGAGTGAGAGGAATAACTGATACCTCGCACTGGCACGCCACGAGCCACAGCGCACGCTGCTAAAAAGACCGTGCGTGTTCCAGCTGCAGAGGGACAGTGGGCACTCAGGAGAGAAGGGAAGACAATTGGAGTGGGGAGGTCTATCGTCACCGATGTCATCAACAGTAGGAGAACCAGAGGAAGGAAGAGGAAAGCTGGAACGCGGCAGAGCAGGCGGCAGACAGCATTGATCATCGCCGAAAGGGCGAGCGCAGCATCACCGCGGCGGCAGAGCGGAATGCCTCAGCGTGCTGGTGAATGCCAAACTCCTCCAGGGCTGTCATGTCTAGGTCCAGTTCGACGGAGGCATCGTCCGAGACCAGCCGGAGAGAAGCAAGCACGACGGGGTCATCTTTGGCACGAAGAACGTAGATGCTGCCGCCGACGCCATTGCTGTTGACGTCGTATCCCCTAGGACGCAAGAGCTGCGTCATCTCGTGCCTCACCCTGCCCATGCTGAGGAAAAGTTGGCGAAAGCGAGCATCTACATCGCGACGAAGGCGAAGTGAGAAAGGCTGTTGACCCAGCGGGTCAGGAAACTCAAATTTGCCATCAGCTTCGAACCGCAGGAGGAAGTCGCTCGCCTCCGTCGCAGTCTCGAAGTGGAGAGAAATCTTACGAGTAAGATCAAAAGCTTTGATCACGATGCGAGC